CAAGCAAAAGAATCCCGACTGTCAAGGTGATGTACGTCAGAAGCATGCGTGCGTGGGGCAGCGGGACTACTACAGGCCTCCTCCACTTTGGGGATGGGGCTCTTAAATGACTCTTCCTTTTGCTAAGAAATGCCTCAGAGGTGTGGCAGGCTGGGGGTTGCAGTTTGTTCCCCTTAAATATAAGTTGGATGCTGCATTTGCAGTGTTCAGTCAGTATCTGGCCCAAGCACTTAGTAAATGTTTATAAAATATAAAGTAAGTGAAGGTCTTGAACACATGTTATGGAAGTCATAAATGTCTTCAGAACATAGAGCTGAGCTAGGCTTGGGAAAGTAAGGATTAATAAAGACAAAAAGTGAAATTAATAAAATGTATTGGACTAATATTGGGAAATATATTAATGTCCAACACAAATGTCCTAATTGTGAGGGACTCCTTTTCTCTGGTACTTTATTGATAAAAAGCGTCCAGTTTTGGTGCCAAACGGACTTGGTTTAAAATTCTAGCCCTGCTATTTACTAGCCACCTGAAGGTGGACCAATACATAACCTACTTTACTTCAATTCTTACACATTGTGAATAGCTATCTGTGCCTGGTTGGTGATTGTAAGATCATAGGAGATAGAGTATGTAAAGCATTTTGACATATTGTAGTGGGGTTTGTAGTTACTCCCCTTTTCCTTCCCACTCTCTAGTCTTAAGCAAGGTAACTAAATCTGGCTGCTGGAGTGGTGACCTAACCATGCAGCTTTCCCCCTCTGAGAAGAAGGTCACAGAGGGGAGATTTTAGCTTGGTAATTGCCAGCTCTACCAGGATACATTTTTCTAGCACTGTGTTTTTCAGTGACATGAAAAAAATATCATGACATAAAGATAATTTGATTATAGATTTTAGTGTCTCAGACATAGTCTTTTCATGCATGGAGCAATTCCTGTAAAGATATATCATTACCCTGACTTGAGGTCCCTAGTGGAATGAGTCATTAATGCCAGCAGCAGGGTTGATCATACAAGGGAATCCTGAGACTTGTATTGGGAAATTTACCATGTTCCTGTAAGATGGTGGTCAGGTAGGCAGAATACTAGGTTTGAGGGTGACTGGTACTTCTATAACAGTTTTAGAGTTGTTTCCAATAGATATTTGCAATAAACTCGTCCTTGCTGCCATTCCGAGTTCTTCGTCACTGCCCCCGCTACCTTTCTCTTATTCCTGACCTGTTTCTTCCATGCCTGGAAGTTTCTTGACTCTTGGAGCCTAAATTATCCCTCCTCTAACTATGTCTGGAATTTTATGATGCTCTAAAGGATGGAATAGAATGTTATACATTGCCAGTAAGTCATACTTTCAACAAAGTGCTGCAGCCTGTAGATTGTTTCAGTTTTATGTTTTAGGTCATGAAAAACTTAAGTGCTTCACTTAGTTACTTAAGTTATAAATTCTGTACAAAATACTTGCATTAAAAAGAGACTCTGGCGCTACATCTGAGTTTGGTCTGGCTTTTGTAACCACATATCTGAAATGTGGGGGCTTGAGAATGATGTACCAGCACCACTGTGTGTTTTCTGTGTTTGTTCCATTCCTGGTTTGTGGCCAGACATGGGAAGGTATTGGAAATTTGAGTCCTATTCAAAGGCTTTTCTTTTTATGTTCGAATGGGAACCACTTTTTAAAGGGCCTCTGCTCCTCTGTCCACAAAGCTCTTTGTTATAGCACTCTAATGGCATGTGACAGGGTGAACTAAGCAAGCCACTTGGCCACACCTACCTCAAGGAGGGTAGATGACTATAGCGCTGGGAAGTCTCCATTACGGAAAAGCCAGTGAACAGCCCTCATGATTCTGGGGTTCTCAGTTATGGTCACCATATACTCAGTTCTCTCTCCCTTCCATGGGCAGAATGACTCACCTGACCCCAAGGGCAGTTACCCAAATTGTCCCCATTCGGTCTTAGCATCCTGCTCAAAGTTCAGTATTTCTTTATCAGGTCCAGATCACCTCTTGTTCTGGAGACTTCAGGAACTAAAAAGGCCAGTAGTCTGTCCCTTGTGTCCCTTCCCACCCTGTGGAACTGGGAAAGATAACCGACAAAACCACTCCCATTCAGAAAGGGGAGGAATGGGAAATATGTAGCAGTCACAGAGTGGTAGCAATTCTGAAATCCCACTGAGCAGGCATTTTGGGGCCCCCCCCACTTTGGATTAGAGAATGTTCATTAATTATGCCCAGATTCTGCTTCCTGGCAGAGCCCCCACCCCAGTCCATTGTTCTCCACACCCATTGGCTCCACCCTCTGAGAGTTTCTTCCTTTTCTAGTAACTTCTTAGCTACCACTGAAGTTGTCACTGGAGAACAGGCCTTCCTTGGGGGCCGAGTCGCTTTCTCTGGCAGCTTCCTGTCTGTAGAGTTGTGGCCCTCTTTTAATCAAGACTGTAGTTATTTTGGCAGTACAACCCTCAGAAATTCTCATGACTTCTTACTGATTCCAGTCAGCTTCACGTATCAATAGCCAGACCTACAATTTTGGCTAGATATGAACTGTTAGATTTTCTGTATTTCTCATCTTTGTACCCCTTGTTGTGCCCCTCCTTCTTTCTTTGTTTGAGGGTATCTTTTCTCCACCAGCTTTCAGTTGGAGACCTACCCCCTTTGTCTCTTTTTCCTGAACCATTTACCCTGAGTGAAAGAACTTACTGAGCGCCACTTGATCTGGGCAGAGGGTTTAATGTCAGGTGTGCTGGCTGTACCCTTGATTTGATCCTTAGTTGAGGTTGAGTTTTAATCAGCTTTTGTTCCTTCAAAGGGCTTCTTTTCATTTTTAACTGTTTGGGGTTGAGAAGTTAGTTGCCTCCTACAGTCTTTTAAGTCTGAATGTATAAACCAACCAGTTATTTTTTGATATCATTTCTTTCTTGTCTGGGTTTCTTTTATCTTAGTTTTTTTTGGTCCTCTCATCTTTTCCTTTTGCTTTTTCACCTACTCTTGTTTTTCACCAGTTTCGTAGAAGCCATGCTTCCTGTACTCTATCGAGGGTGCCAAACTATTTCCAGATTTTTCTTCTGGATCTATCACTGTATCCAGTAAGCTCTTTCTTTGAGGATTTCAGAGGCTGCTCCTTTCCTCTACTGGAACATTTTCTTTCTCACGTGGCTTGTGTTTTTCTTCTCAATTTTTTATTCTTTCAAAAAGTGAAATCTGCCAGATATGTTTTTTAACAACAAATAGGCCCCCTTACCATCCACTTGGATCTACAGCTCAGGGCAGGTCGACCTACGCAAATCCCAGTTCAGTTCTCAGTTTCTAGGAGGCTTGTGTTCAGATAAAATCTTTACTGACCCTCCCACCCCCC